GATAAACCGTTAGAGTTTCGAATCTTTACTCAACTTAAAAAAAAAATTACATCAAGCGCATTCTATTTGTTAAGAAGTTAATAGTTGAAGATTAAAAAAAACATAGCGAAAATATTCGATTAGTGAATCTGAATGTCTTTGGGGCTTAAGATCGAGTTTGAACCATACGATAAGCCCTTCGTCGTACCGAATGGTTTTGTATGGTTTTGTCGATGATTTTGATTAGGCGTTGTGGTGTTGAAGGTGTGTCTCCATGTCTTATACTATTCATTTCCCTCAATACATGGTAAAGAGATGTGTGAAAGACATACCTGAGGAGGAAGATTTATGTCTGTTGTCTCGAAGATGTTGAAATAATCTGAATTATTGAGTCCCAATATTGACCTATATGTTTGACGTAGAAGGCTTTGCATGAGAGAAGACTAGATTTGAGCTAAAAATTGGCAAAGTGAAGAATATGTGATTACGCATCTCCAAAGAGTATTCGCATAAGACAAAATATAGAGAGATTCTTGTGTTCCATTGCAATATAAGATCCCATGTGTTGAGGCGATTGTAAATGACAAGTTAAAATGTGAAAGAGAATTTTGGGTGTAGAATATATGAACCAAGTCCCTCTACACTAATCTACTCTTTCTCCCTAAACTCGATGATGATGACAAGTGTATTTAAAATTGCATTTTGGTTTATATTTTTCGCTCTTTGATCGTCATAAAGCCTTGTCATCTTCCATCAATGCTCTCCACATATTCATCTCATTAGTGACATCTTCTATTTTGTTTAGACTTTCAACACGGTGTCATCTTCTTCAATGTGTATCCAAGAAATTAATTTTTACTATGTTCTCTCTTCTCAGTCTTCCACAATAATGGTTTCGCCATAACTCATTTCTCTAAATTTATTCTTCTTTAAAAGTGTCAAGCTCCTGTAACAAAAATTTCATAGAGCTGAAATTATTATTTACTAGGTGAATACCCGCGCATATGCGCGGGTTTTGTTCCATAACCATATTTTTATATTTTGCTTAGAAATTTAACATCTTATGAACTATTATTTGGTTTTATAGTTAGATTTTTGCTTTTAAAATAATGTTGTATATCTTGTGTATTTTGTTTTCGTAGATAAATTCTTATCAACTTTATGTATATGCTTTAACATGGCTTCCAAATGTAAATTCGTTCAACATCAAATTTATCATTTTATTAAGAAAACATTAAGTTTATCAAAACCAGTACACAATTCATTGTAATCAACTATTCATTTAGGGTAAGTGATTAACATGACATTTGAGAGTTTTATACTGAGACCAATACAGAAATAGTATTTTGAACAATGCAGTAACAAGACAACCAACATACATGTTTTATTTTCCTATTGCGTCAATTGCTGCTATATTTTTTCATACATAAGATATTACTTTCTTTGATAAAAACGTACAATATTACTTACTATCTTAAAATATATACATATTACATAATGTGGTAAAATGGGTTGTTGAGAATCGAACAACACCAACAACACTAATCGGTGGTTAAAATTAGAAGGACATATTTAGAAGTCGGAGTAAGAGTCTTTGGCAGTCATACCTTAGTGAAAAACAATTCAAAAAGTCATGCTTATAGCATTTTTACGGTAACGAACAATTTTAGCGCCATTTGAAACAATAAATAGATACAGTTCTACCAATTCTTGTTTTGTAGAAAAAGAATTAAAACTGATTTTAGAAGAAAAAACTTCACATCATGAACTGGTCTATCATAGTGAGAGACAAAAGTTAGTAGTAGCTTTGATGTAGTTAGCTTAGAATTGAACGAATGGCGGCAAAAATTTGACAATCTCTGATACGTTATCATTAGAAATATCAGAAACCTCTATAACAAAATATTATCTTCTCATCAGCAAAAATTCATATTATAATACTATTGAGATATTTTATGCAAACTCATACTATGATATTATCCATGTCATATAAGGTATTCATAATCTCAAATACTTATTATGCAAAATTAGCAATTAACATTCATAAGACCTTGCCAAGACCAAACAAAATAGGAGGAACCATAAAAGGTTGCAAAGAACAAACATCCATGCCTGCAAACATCATTACAAGAATACAACATTTATATGGATTTTTTCGAAAATGTGATTTGCATTAAAATCTTATTGCTTGATAGCCCTGATTTGTATTTACTATTTAGCAAGCCATTGTGCTAGATCCATCATGTCATCATTGTGATATATCCATCAAGCCAAAGTGATACACTATATTTTGGTGTGGTCTTGTTCGGTGCTTGTTTCTTTGGCACCTATTTTCGAGCCTGATTTTGAGATGTGTTGCCTTATTCTATTATTTTGCTTGACCATCGCTCAACTATAGTCTCTGTGATAGAGAGACAAAGATGGATCAATGACAAATGAGGAAGGTAATTATCCATATGAATTGTTAAAAAAGTTAGGTTTTTGTGAATCCATACGACACGTTCCATCTCAAGAGACTTAACAAGAAGCTAAAAACAAGTATATATAGGTGTAGGGTCTTCTAGGATTAAGTTTAAGGTAAAATAGTCAATTTGGTCGTAACTGCCCAAATATCCATCCAAGTATCGGTAAAAAAATATGATCGGTATTGGAAGTAAAATGACCTCTCATGTGTGCTGACATAGGGCTGGAATAACAGTCCAAGAATTGGCCCGGTACTTGGCTTGATCTTGACTTTCTTCACCTTCGAGGCAGTTTGACATGTCTTTAGTAAATTGGGTCTATCTTCCTGTCCAAGATCGGAACTCTCACTCAAACTCTATCAGAACTCTCATGCAAAGATCTTTCTCATACCCCAAGTTTCATCTATATCCAAGATGTTTTGATTCTCCGTCTGTAGCTAAACTTCTGTCGTATGTGTTATGTCCAACTTGATAAAATGTGATAACTTATAAAATCTTAGGCTTTGATAATGTCTTTGGCTTGTGTGACTTGGTGTAGCTTGGGTTAAACCTTATTAAGTCATTTTTGCTCATTTTGATTGATTTTTCTGTTAAAACTCTAAAACTTTATATACGAGGAAAACTACTAATAAAAACATAAAATCGTGATAAAATGCACATAAAATATATAAAAATACGTAGTAAAATAGATAAAACATTGGTGTAATCATTACATCTGGAATATATATGGCAAATTGTATTAAAAATATATTTATAATAAATTTGTAAGATTTTATTGTTCTTACGTGTATGTTAGCTATTGTTTTTCTTTCTGTATGAGTTTGACATGTTTAGGTGACATAATTATGGGAGAATCAATTTCATTGTTTGATTAGGTTTTTAGATTATTTTTGGTAACTTCTTGTGAAGGCTGCTTCACAATTATGATATTTAATGAAGATTTTATATGTTTTTTGCAGAGAAATATTCAATTTCCTATTGTTTATATAGACATGTCATGAAATTTTATGGTGGATAATCTCGTAGAAAGGATAATATTATTTTTTGTGTGATGGTTGTACACATAGTGGACTGATTGAAATGACACAAGATGGTTATAATCTACACAAAAAACGAGTTGGTGGAGTTAACTTATTCAATCGAGTTAAGTAGAACACATGTTTTATGTCTTTGTATCTCAAGTCGATTCGAGATGTATATTTGCAATAAT